ATCAAAATACAATCATGTTTGTATCGTAAACACTGAACTACTGAGTTTAAATATTATTAAACTATGGTGCAGTACTGAGTAGATACAGCATGGGGCAGTATTGGACCAATGCAAGGCTCCATTGACTCCAATTATGTGATTTTAAACATTAATATTTCAAAAACTATAAGTTGTACAGGCACCAAAAGACATAGCAATCATTTGGCCAGGAGCTTTACAGATATAAATTACAATGGCAGCTCTAGGACAAAGTATGCAGGAGGAGAAGCATGGCAAAGTGGAGATGACTTGGATGGGAAACAAATCACACTGAAAAGTGGGAAATCAWTATCGGATGTTGATATCGGCCCAGTTTTACATATCGGATTGATACTGATATGAATACTGATATATTGTGCATCCCTAAATTAATTAATAAAGTTAGCTGAACAGCAGACATGTTAAGAATAAGGTGGATTTTATCAATTTAAAAAGTAAATCTCAGGAAACTGTTTGTGCAACATTTAAAGTGTCACCATGTGCAAATCCTTCAAATACAAACAGTCAAAGAAAACATCTTTATTTTTTAAGAAACTTGGTATAAGATTTTAGATTTTTCACCAGGGATTTTCTGGTATAAATCTGCTGTTTTACATGACTGTTGAATGAAATTAACATAATTATTAATTTATTGTAAAAACATGACAGATAATGTGTGAAACAGATCCAGTTCAGCTGCTGTTTATCTGTTAGTTTCTATGTTTGCTGTGAGCTGTTGTCCTGTTTGTTTCTGCTCCTCCATGATGTCACAGACACTACCAGTGGACGGGATGGGCAGGGCTCTGTCTAGTCATATTTAAGTCTATGGTTGTTTTATGACTTACTGCCACCCTGAGGACTGAGCTGGACTTTTACAGAACTCTGTGCCGGGTCGACACGCCTGACAAGCCCTTACCTGCCAGGTGAGAAGGCTGAGATTGTTTGGTGAAACCACTGATGGGAAACGATCAAACRGGAAGAAAAGTCTTTCAGCAGAGACACTTGATGAGTCACAGCTGAGTTTCCTCAGCAGCCTGCAGTGTTTCTGCCTCAGCTCCATGACTAACCATCACTAACCTCTGCCCCCAGATTTACCCCAGCCTCCACCTGTTGCCCTCCAGCACAGATGACATCACTTCACAGCTCCTGCAGGTAAACCCACAGTTTAAGTAGGTCTGACTATCCAGACAGAGGATTAACTACTTAAGACTGAATTATGTAAAAACCAATCACAGGCCAGATTGCAAAAAGAGGTGAGAGCAGCTTGAGAAAAAGCCCAGCGTGGWCATTTCATCACTGTGTGTGTTTGTTCTGATGCTTCATCAGAACAAACACACACAGTGATGAAATGTGTGTGTTTGTGTGTGCGCTCTGCAGGCCTGCGCTCTGTGTGTGTTTCCAACTCGATACAGAAATATAAAAACTTTACAGTTTACAGACTGGACTGAGGTTGTTTGATCATTTTTAGACTGATCTGTTTTCTTGTCTGAGGTTAAATGATTTTCAGTTTCATCATGGTTCAGTTTAAACAATAAAAACCTAACASCRTGTTCAGACGCTCCTTACATCCAGAAAACACAACAGAGTCACATTTCTGTGGGTTCAGGTCAGATTTGTGACTTTGTGAGTTAAAACTGTCGACTGAAAAACTTTGTGTGTCTGCCGCACATTCTCACAGCAGGTGAAAAATGTGCGTAAATAAACGCACACTTTCACACAACGTTGGTTTTTATACATCACAACGTGGGCGTGGAACCTGGTGTACACAACTTTCAAATGAACATGAGAAACCACATCCAATCAGATCCACCTGATGAGTGGAGACAATGTTGCACAAAAACAAACACATCCAAGTGAGCATAAAAACATTTTTGCAAAAAGTTTTTTTTAAGTTTGTTATTTTCATCAACATAAATGTGCATAAAAACCTTGATGGAAACACATTTGCTGAATAAGTTCTGACGTAGTGAACATTTAAGCAGCAGTATGATGGGATTTCTTCCCGCTGGAGTCCAATGTGGAAAAAAAAAAAAGAAGTCCGACTGGTCACCTGACGTTATTGTTGAAAGCTTTCACATCGATGCTACGTGATTCAAAAAGCAGAGTTTTCATCACGCATCTAATCACACAGACACACACGTGTCTTCCTATCTTTGTGAGGACCACACACAGCGGTCACAACCACGCTCTGTGCATTGTTTTTTCCCCAAAGTTTGTCGAGAGGTGGATAGAGGGGCGCACAAAGAGCTCTGGACTTGATCTGGTCTCATTNGAAACAGTACTATATAACATTTTAGACACATTCTAGACAGTTTATCAGCTAAAAAAAGTTAATTTTGGGGTAAGTTACTCTTTAAGTAGGTCTGACTATCCAGACAGAGGATTAACTACTTAAGACTGAATTATGTAAAAACCAATCACAGGCCAGATTGCAAAAAGAGGTGAGAGCAGCTTGAGAAAAAGCCCAGCGTGGWCATTTCATCACTGTGTGTGTTTGTTCTGATGCTTCATCAGAACAAACACACACAGTGATGAAATGTGTGTGTTTGTGTGTGCGCTCTGCAGGCCTGCGCTCTGTGTGTGTTTCCAACTCGATACAGAAATATAAAAACTTTACAGTTTACAGACTGGACTGAGGTTGTTTGATCATTTTTAGACTGATCTGTTTTCTTGTCTGAGGTTAAATGATTTTCAGTTTCATCATGGTTCAGTTTAAACAATAAAAACCTAACASCRTGTTCAGACGCTCCTTACATCCAGAAAACACAACAGAGTCACATTTCTGTGGGTTCAGGTCAGATTTGTGACTTTGTGAGTTAAAACTGTCGACTGAAAAACTTTGTGTGTCTGCCGCACATTCTCACAGCAGGTGAAAAATGTGCGTAAATAAACGCACACTTTCACACAACGTTGGTTTTTATACATCACAACGTGGGCGTGGAACCTGGTGTACACAACTTTCAAATGAACATGAGAAACCACATCCAATCAGATCCACCTGATGAGTGGAGACAATGTTGCACAAAAACAAACACATCCAAGTGAGCATAAAAACATTTTTGCAAAAAGTTTTTTTTAAGTTTGTTATTTTCATCAACATAAATGTGCATAAAAACCTTGATGGAAACACATTTGCTGAATAAGTTCTGACGTAGTGAACATTTAAGCAGCAGTATGATGGGATTTCTTCCCGCTGGAGTCCAATGTGGAAAAAAAAAAAAGAAGTCCGACTGGTCACCTGACGTTATTGTTGAAAGCTTTCACATCGATGCTACGTGATTCAAAAAGCAGAGTTTTCATCACGCATCTAATCACACAGACACACACGTGTCTTCCTATCTTTGTGAGGACCACACACAGCGGTCACAACCACGCTCTGTGCATTGTTTTTTCCCCAAAGTTTGTCGAGAGGTGGATAGAGGGGCGCACAAAGAGCTCTGGACTTGATCTGGTCTCATTTAAATAATAATAAAAATGAACAAACAAACAAACAAACAACCTCCGAGTCTGCAGTCCACCACGTCACTCCTCTTCCTCGTTCTTCATCGATCTGTGTACCAGCCTACCGACAATGTGGTGTGTTTGAGGAAATGGGAAAAATAGGTTTCATGGCGCAGTCACGCACTTCCTGGTCACAAAACATTCTGTAAATGTGCAGCAAATGTGTAAAAATGTGCACATTATGGCAAGAATTATTCATCATTACATCTGGTTTTAACATGACTTTTATAAAGTTTGAAGTCCAAACACTGAAAGCTGTCACTGTTTTTTACAGAAGCCCTGTGAAAGCATCACAGCTTTGCCGATATGAGAGGATTAAAAGGAAAAAAATTCCTGTATCCGCATCGTGATCCGGAACATCACCAAAATTTAAAGGTGTGTTCCTTGGATCAGTACACACATGTGTTGTAAATGTCATGACAATCTGTCCACAAGTTTTTGAATAATGTTGTCCACAGACAGACAGACATACGCGACTGAAAACATGAATAAAAGATGTGACTGACATGTCCGACTCAGAGCTGAACAAATAAAGAAACAGATGTTGACACCTGTTTGTTAAAGCTGTCAGGATGAAGTTTAAACACCTGGAAACCTGACACTCAGGTGTGTTTGATGTCACTGTGACGTATCTGAGACGTGCTTTTCCTAAATTTCCATGTATTTTTTCAACAACATGTAAATCGTAGAGCAAATGGTCCAGCAGAGTAGGCAGCGCCTGCAGGATCCCTACATGCCTCAGCCTGGACCTGATGGCCTCCTGCCTGGTTTCTGAGCAGATCAGGATACAGCACGCCTCCGTTTGCCTCTCAGCATCTTTCAGCGGTTGCAAATCAGCCACTTCCTGCTGCAGCAGGAAGTCTGCAGATGGCAGCCAGTGTTCCCAAATCAATTCCAGATTTGAGATAATTTAAAAAACGACACCAGGCAGCATCAGAAGCAGAGCTGGTGAATAAATGCTGAAATATTCCCAGGATTCAGCAGTGAGGTGAGTGGAAACAATGAGGTCATGGTGGCATTTCAGACAGATCCTGTACCAACAGGAAGGAAGAAGTGAGGAGATGGAAGAAAGGAAAAGGGGCGTGGCCTCTGTGGGAGTGTGTGTTTGTTTGGGTCCAGCCGAGCAGACTCACCAACAGGTCCACGCTGTCACGCCGGCCCAGAGACTCGTGGGCCACCTTCTCCCCAGCCGGACTCAGGATGTAGGGACTCGGACCACCAGAGGGCTTCATGTTGGGCAGGCTGAGGGAGCGCAAGTCCTTCACTCCCTGCTCCACCTTCAGCTCGTCGCCCGGCCGAGCTACAGATAACCAAAGACGGGTTAAACCTCGTGTGACGTCATAAACATACAAATAAATCATCATTTAGGAACAAAAAACTGTGTTTGGGCAAAAAACTAAACCATAAATAGATCAAATTTACAGCAAACAGATATAAACATCCTTCACATTTATTATTTTAACCTCACGTTTCAAAACAAACAAACAAACAAACGAAAAAAAACTAAAAAAGATTCAGAAAAAAACTATTTTTAGAGGGTTTACCAGGTGGAACTATTTCAACCTGGTTTCTGTTCAAACTGTGTAACTCAGGTTCAGAGACGAGGGCCAGATCAGGTTCTTAAAGGGATCCATGATCAGTTGTAGCA